CGACCGGGAGATCCAGTAGTGACAGTTGTGCATCCTCCTCGCCGTCGTACGCGCAGCCTGCATTCTCGTCATCCATTTTCCTCGCACCGTGCGAATCTGAGTATTTTCATTCGATCTGCTCGAAACTGATGCAAAAAGTTAACAAAAGGAACTGAACGTGATATAAACACGAGCGTTTATCGACGTCTGATCTGTCGTGTTATCAAACAACGATAGCTATCACGTCAGGCACCTTATATAGCTAAGAGTGACTCCACTGTGTCGCAAAACGACGCCACCTATACAGGGTGTTGCAAAGAAATGCGTGTCTTGATCGACTTGCACTCGACTCTCTCCTTTCGACTGACTTCATAATTAGATTTATTTGTCCGCTTAAGAAACTTAGTCGATGGAATCTATCGAATTGTTATGTAAAGAGTTTCAACAAGTAAGAGATACAGTAGTAGCACTTTATTAAAAAATAGTAGTTACAATCCTTTATTACAGATTGTAGATTGATAATTAACACTAAAAATTTATTGAAATTTAAAAAATGGTTTAAAAAATAATATCAGAATAAACTTTTTTAATATTGCATATGTCCTATTACAATTATATTATAATTATAAAAATTATGTAAATTATAATTAAAAACTGTGAATATATTCATTTGCTTATATGTTTAATAAACTTAATTAATAAATCATTAAATTGTAACATAAAGAATTTTGACAACGGGAGCTTTTGCAAATAAGAAAGTTAGCAGAACACCACATTTTACTAACAATTATAAAAATTATATTAAAATGAAAATTATAAAATTTTACGTAAATTATATTTGTAGGATAAAAATAAATTTATCAAGATAATATCAAGATAAATTTATTGAAAATTATACTTTATTGTAAACAATAAATATCTGAATAAATTTTCTCAATATATGCTCTATTACAATCATATTAAAATATATTGTGATTATATTATTTATGTACGTACAATTATTATAATTAAGTAACCATTTGTGTACACTTAATTATACACGTATTCAAATATAAAATATATGAATATTTTTGCTATCTAAAATCTATATTTTGCTAAACATATATTAAACACATATACGCACATATCTAGAAATCATAAATGCGCAGATGTTTGGAAATCTTCATATGTATGTAGTACCACAGTTTTTTTATCTAATTTAATTTCTGGAATACTTTTTTGAAATTAATATATGCATTAATATATGCAATATATCCATCTATTTTATTACACTATATACTATACTATTTGTATGACCTTTTCTTTCAGGTAGCTCAAACAAGCTGTTTTCAGCTTACCTGAAAGTAGAAGAGTAAGATACTCTCATTATTTATTGCTATCTTCACCTTATTCTTTCAAACATTATTGTCCGTTTATTTTTATGATTACATTTTGATTCACATAACAACAAAATAACTCGCATTGTCGTATGGAATTTGTAGCTTTAGCAATTATTCAGACAGAAGCTGACAGGAGTTGATCGCTTTGAAACGATCGGTGAAGTTAAGTAAAACCAATGAAATAATTGCTCCGCTCGCCGAAACCTGCTTGCATAACTACGCCTATGTTGAAAAGCGTTTTCGAAGACGATATGTGCTTCAAAAGATATTATTACTAATTTTAAGTACGATATAACACCCCTCCAGGTCAATATGATCAATCCCACACCAACCATCGATTTTTGTAACGGCGGTGTAGGAGATATAAAATCAGACAATAAAATCAGACATGTAACATAAGAACCGATGATTAAATCTACTAAAGATAACCAGCAAATAATAATCTTTATATTTGACATCATGATCTCAACTATCAACATGCAAATGGAGTCACAAATTGAACGCAAACGATAGACAATCGATAGGCAAGATGTCCATACGGTAGACACGAATACGATTGAATATTCGGCAGAAATCCGTTGCTGAAGAAGCACAGATGACAATCAAAACGTACAAAAAAAAAATTTTCTCAAATACGGACAAATCGTTCGTCGTATCAAACGCGGAACTATTTGTCGTCTTGTTTTGTTTCTTGGTTAATGTGTGATCAACTTTCTGCGTCTTGTCGATGCAATATGTACATTACAATAATCATAAGTATCAGGTTCGTTGTGTCGTTTATAGTCTACTAATTTATAGTACTATTTCGTGTGAGAAAATTATAGGATCGTCTAAATTTTCGCTGACTTGTACAAATGTATGGGGAATATCGTAGCAGGATAAATGCAATGAGTGATAAATCAAGAGAATCAGAGACAAGAAGTAATATTGCCCTGGGAACTTAAGGAGGGCGTATATTGTGAAACCAACCCTCTGGAATAACGCTGGCCAGCAACGGCAGCTCGACAAATATTCCATTGACGCCCAACAAGATGTGGATATGCCGAACAAGATTAATAACCGCATGCTCGCATTTGACATGTCCAAAATAATAGACGATTCGCCAATCGCCCCTCATCGTCGATCTCTTTATCCACCCTTGCGTGAATAGATTGACGTTTGTCTTTACAGGTTTGTTTTCGTCGACAATTAGGGAATAATTGCTATTGGCACTCTGAACGGAATCAATCGATCACTCACACCAATACTGTTGCGTGACAGTTTAAGTATTCTTAAAGTATCATAAAGTATCACAGATGTACATATATATATATTACTCTTCTTCAAAAGTGATGAAGATAAGTACGGAACTCTGTTGCGCGGGCTTATCAGAAGCAGAGTCACGGAGAAATAATTAAAAGAAATAAAAAACCGTTTCCCCTCTTCAGATTCTTAATCTGCTTAATAAAATTTATCAGATAAAACAGAACATTTATCAGATTTGCAATTATCAGAAAAGACACAGCACAAGCTTATGCACAAGATTAACTCGAGCATCTGATACACAATTTGTCGCAGATCTAACAATGAAAGGAAAATTCTGTACAGCTGTTCAAAGTATTAAATACTTAATATAGATAATTATAAATATTATTTCAAATTTGTGTGTGTGTGTGTGTGTGTGTGTGTGTGTGTGTGTGTGTGTGTGTGTGTGTGTGTGTGTGTGGTGTGTGCAAGAGAAAGTGCACGTTTTGTAATAATTCTGTAATAGCGTAATTTATCAAGAACTTCGTTCTCTGTTCTGAAAAATATTACAATATTAAAATACTGTTACTAAAATTTAATTTAGACTAAATAAAGAAATCTATTATGTGCACAATAAACTGTATTAAAAAAATCCATCCACCAATCCAAAGTGCACAAAGAAAAAAGTTATTTCATTACATGTACATTCACGTCTAGGCTCGTGTTGGCCTTAAACTGAATCTACAATTAAATAGTTAGTAAATTAGTAATAATTAAGTGTCTTTATGTGTTGCTAAAATAAAAATAGGAATCGTAACATATTTTATCTCTAAATATTCCAAAAAAATTGATAACAATTTGTAATATATAAAATAGCTAATACATATTTCTAGACAGAATTGCTAATAATATTTGCTAATAACTTTCAGCTAATATCAGCGTGGATAATTGATAAAATTAAGTACAGACGACATTAATTTTCTGTAAGATACGTGCAAGGAGAATAAGATTGAAACACCTTCGCGTAATTGACCAAACCGAACGTGGTAATTGCGCCTATTAAGGATCCGATTTGCGTCGCAACGCCGGTGTAGTAAAGACCCCTTCCAGGATCGGGCCGATATAACGTCGTAATGCCCATCTTTACAAATCCTATTAAACCGCAAAGCGTTATCCATACGAGAACTACCATTAGTTCGCCCACCCACGAATGTTGCAAGGGAGGATGAGGCGATTTCGCGGCCAAATATAAGACAAAGCCTGAAAGCACTAAAATAATCATCGTGAGGACATTAAGAAGCTTTACCTGCGGCGTATTTACAAAGAAACCTAAGGACATAGCTAATGGACCAGCTATGGAAGCTAGCGTGACGGTTAAGTGATACGCTAGATTGCCATATGGTAGACAAGAGTACGACTGTATGCTCGGCAAGGTACCGTTACCGAGGAAACAGACTATAGCCATCATAACTAATAAATAGTAGTATATAAATTTCGGCATTTTCCAGCCGGAATTAGTTTTATAGCTGGGCGGTGCCGTCGTGTCGGTCGGCAACATTTCCATGCTGCTTGGAAGCTTGACCCTTTCCCCGCGTGCTACGGGCAAATTGTTTAAACCTAAGAACGAGAGAAAACTCAGACATAGCAGAGAACCGATGAAGACGAAAAATATCTCGGAGGAGAATCTCGGATCTGATTTGGCGGGCTCAAATTCCAGCTGGGTCGAGCCTGGCTTGGTGACGTTTTCGCATTTTGGATTACCACCGACGCCCTGTATCAACGCAACTGCGCTCGGTACGAATCCGCTCAATCCCTCCCCGACGAGATAAGACACCAGATAAATCTCACGGTAATTCCTCATGTACGGCATGAAGAGCACGGAACTTGTGCATCCGACGAGGGCGGTCACGAACATCAGCGACAGGAGGGCGGTCGAGTGCTCCTTACCGAAAACAAACGAGGTGTAATCGTACAGGAAACTCAACGCGACACAGGCGCACGCTCCTGCGGCCAGCAAGGCATAAATGATGAATTTGTCGTACGCCCAAGCGGTGTACCTGAAACACATATCCAAAATAGACTTGTTGCGCAATCGTCCCAAGACGTTATGAAACACAGACTTACTTTATATACAGGGTGTACAGTATGGGACCTAAATTGGCAAATTGCACCAGCATCACCATGTGGGCGGGCAGGCTCCATCCTTCCGGAGCTGTATGCACGATCAGAGGTAATTGTACGTATATGCCATTCACACCGATCCAGGCACCCAGGCCAAACATCAGCGCTAGGAGATCGACCAGCAATCTCCGGTTGCTCAATCGCTGACTCAACATTTTGCACATTTGCGTCAGACCAGTTATTCTCAAATTGTTTCACACGTACGATGAATACTCCTAGTCGTCGATCACTAGTTGGTCTCTCACTGCGATATTCACCTCGTTCTGTGGAGGATACGATAATCAGACACATCGCTACATAATCAGACTGATAATTATTATCACGTCATAATGCAATTAGTCAATCTACTAGAAAAGATAACTAGAACAGATAAAAGTGACGATGTTGAAAATGTAATTACTGATGTACGATCGAAATACGTCATTCAATTATTGAAAATTAACACGTACCGCACTAATTTATATATAAATATATTTATATACATTTATCAATGGAGTATATTGTACATTTGTATATACATATATATTTTCACAATCTACTGCAAATCCAATTAAATTAGTAATAATTCACGCTGACAGCTTCAACCGCAATTTTTTCCGTTCGTGAAGATTACATTAATTATTTATTAATTTCTCAGAACTCACTGAAATTACCTCGATTTTGTTAACATATTATATTTTTCCTCGTAATTTTAGATATTTTGCTTCGTTGGATCTTCGTTTTTTTTTTTTATATATATAAAATTTCGAATTCGTAAGTCGAAAAGAATGTTACCCAATTAATAAATCACATGCGCGTTGTTCACGCAACTAATCTTACGAAAGATTGGAAGGCGAATGCTTCGAAATCCGGAGTAGGGTTATATAATTCACGTGGTTCATTGACAATTCGATATATCGCACGAGTGTCTCGATAGCATTTAGCACTTTGCGCTTTTTAATTTTGCGCTCGACGGCATTTGTCGGTCGAAGGAATTTCACTCGATGAGCGTTCGTTTGGAAGTATCTCGCGTGATTAACACGCGTGTTCGATTAAGACTAAGACTATATTATAAATCGCAAACTATCGAATCTCGAACGACCGCGAGTACTATCGAACGACGAGTTTGTTCGGAGAGAGAGAGAGAGAGAAAGAGGGGAGAAGGGATTCATCCCCACCAAAAGTACCTGTTGAATCAGGTCACCTGGTATGATGAATGACTATAACTTTTTTATTTTTACTGGAAATGTGGTCTCTAGCGAGTTATCTAATCTAAAAGAAATGGATGAATAGCTACCAAGCTGAATTTAAAACACATGTTATGAAAAAAAGAAAAACAGAAAGGAAAAATGTTCTGCATTAAAAAAAATAGAGGATAAACTCTTTTATATTATGATTTAACAGAATTTTTTGCTCTTTCGCAGCAACATTGAATTTTCTGGAAATATTTAAAAATGTAACTTTTAATTTAACCAAAAAATTGAATTTTAATAATAGTAATTAATATTGTTTCATTTATCTTTGTATAAAAGAATATATACTTACTTTTTCTATTGATAAACTACTTTTCCCGATAGACTCTAGTCTATTAGGATTGATTGATTGTCAAAAAGGGATCGCAGGGACAATAGGATATGTGGAACGAAGAAAATATACGATTTGTTGAATATAGCAAGAACTTTATAAAAGACGAGGCAGACTCACAGATGGTTTAAGTACATTAGTATTTGTCTCAAAACTCTTGAGAGTTTTTGCATTTGAGAGTGTGTTTTGCGTTCGCATCTTTGTTTTTTCTTTTTCTTTTTTACTTTTTTCATCATTTTTAATAGAATCACACGGATGAAAAAAGATCGCAGAAAATGTGCTCTTGCAAGTGCTCGAAAGTCGTGTACGGATATATAACATTAATTTAAAGGAGTCCCCATTCGGATGACAGATGGCGGAAAAAGGAAACGCCGAACTATACCTGACATAAGCTTCCTTCGTGTTGCGCCATAGTATCGTCGCCTATATATTTTTCTTTATCTGCGAGCGATAAATATGCATATAAAATAAAGTAAAATTCCCTTATTGCGGCATTCAGCGAAAAAGAAAAGATCGATTTATTTATTTTTTTGGATAATGTTTCCCCCTTCATTTAGTACAATTGGATATTACACACAAGGTGTCCCAGAATTGGTGCACGCGAGATGAACAATGCAATTCTCTGTGTTGAAAGAAGTAACCTTTTTCACTGGCAAAACTGCGTCAAGGCGGTAACTTTTTAACTAGAGCAATTATCGTAATTAACAAAAAGCTAAATAAGTTGTGTATGAATCAAAGACGATGCTAAATATGTGGACGTACACAGTTTTTACTACTTCCTTAAAGATTTTATGATTATGCATGATACTTAAATGTCGCATTATTTTGAATGTAATTTACCTAATAGGAGAAAATATTCAGTAGTAACGACTGAGAATAGATTAGATAGCGGTAACATGATTTATGCGGATCTATTTGTTAGAGAAACGTTAAACTTGTTTTCGCTCGAAGTCTATCGCTTGAAAGCAGTTTTGTCAGACGAAAAAATTGACTTCTTCCGACACAAAGTACTCACACTGCGTCTTCCGCGTACTCAAATTCTGAAATATCCCGCATACTGTGCGCTCGATATCAAATGTATGTACATGTAGTATACAAATGTATTGTACGTACGTGTATCGTATATATCATATATGTTGTATATGCATATATGTACATGGCTCGTTTTAACCATATATTCTATTCGCAATCTCCGTGCGGTGGTACGGTTTTATCTTGATCAGCCGATTTGCAGTTGATTGTTCTCCAGATTCGTCGGATTAAAACTCGAGTACGGTCGATCGGTGGTACAATAGTCCCTCTAAGATACTTTGAAGCGATTACATACTATTTTGTAGGTACGAAATCCCGCCGTGAAGGACGACGGCTGTCGATTACAACATGGAAAAAGTGTCAGTGCGATCACAATCGACCTTACAGATGCGCATAATCGCGAATTGCAGAGTTACGGAAATTGCTGGCTCGGCTGCGACACAATGGCGCGGGAAACGATGATGTACACATCGAAAAATCGTATATACACATATAGGTATAACATGTGTGAAATTCGTGTGTATGTATGCGTGTCCGTGTCCGTGTCCGTGTGTGTATGTGTGTTTTGTTCGAACGAATACGGTGTCGGCAAGTAAACGAGCGGTGGATGAAGGTAGAATAAAACGCGCACGCGAGAAATTACTCGTGATCGATCGCGGGATCGATCGATTTTTTGCCGCACGTACAAACTAATAAGCGCGATTGCGCGTGTCGCTATCACTAGAGCATTCTTATTATTTTCTGCGTAGAAATTCGTCCGCCGACGCGTCTCGCTTCCGTTCTGCCTTGTTCGACCAGTTTCAAGTGGCTCGTAAACGGATTGATCGATCAAAAAATTGATTTGACTTAAATTTAAGCGATGCTAATTTCAAAGGCTGTAGAAAATAAATTGTTAATGGGACATAATTTTGAAAATAAGTCTGTATGTCTTTAATCATTCAAAGAACACATAATTATATATTATTGATTTAAATTTAATTTTTAATTTTAAATAATATAACTCTCTCTCTCTCTCTTTTGTTATTAACCATCAACGTTATTTTTTTCTCTGTCCAATGTTATATAAGTGGTTAATAAAATTGTCTTCGCTTTGTCATTTGCTGCGTCAGCGCAGTTCTCGCAAGAATGAAATTAATTGATTGAATCGTCGAATCGCGCCGGCAAGGAATTTAACATTAACAAGTTCGTGATCGAGATCGTGTATCTGTGTGCGTAGTAAATATGCCGAGGATCACATATCGTTCGCTATCGTCCATTTTGCTACGTATCTTCCGAGTTTGACTCAACTTCTCGAGTATCCTAAAGCGGAAATTATCGACGAACTTGTTACTTACTAACGTCGAAGTTACGCTAAATTAATACGCAGTGCAACGAAAGATGATAATCAAAATCTAAGAATTCTCATTTTTTTCTCTAGTTTCTTCACTACTGCGAATGACACTGAAAAAAACAGAACAAATTTGAACTTTATTTTAAATCCTCGTGTTATTGCGATATTTTTTTTTTTTAAACGGAAATTTGGCGACCGATGTCAATTTCCAGCAAGCCGAGACGCGCTGTGCGGTATTCAAACGTGTTCCTCAAACGTGTCAAAGCGGAAGCTTGCGGGATCACGTCGGCGGACAAACATTCGATTCTCATCGTGGTGAGATGAGATTAGGTGCGATTGTCAGAGCTGCTGCTGCTGCTGCTATATATACGCCTGCCACGAACGTGTGTTCGCGTCGAAAGTTTCGGGTGGAAACGAGCGCGCTTTCTCTCGCGGTCGGATGCTTATTCCGGCCACGGGATATCGAGGAAATCTCGCTAGGACGCGAGCAGGACCGATATAATCTCGATGGAATTGACTGCAGTACACGGATTGTGCGCGATACGGGTATTGTTACGAGCTACTATGCGAGTCCTGGTCCTTTCGCATCTTAGACACATTGTTACATCTTTCTTACAGCCGCCTACATATTATAGCACTTTCCGCCGAGCACCACCGATATTCTCGGCTGTACATTCTTTTTCGATGGTCATTATCAATATCAGAATTAATAAAATATATAACATACAAAATATGTGGATTTGATGTATGATAATTTCTCGTATCACTTTTTTTATCACGTGCGATAAGCTCATAACTAATAATACACGGATTGAAAAATATTGCATGAACTTGAAAAAAAATTAGCATTCTGTTAGCTAGTAATTTTTTCATTTTTTTTTTCTATAATTTACTTCGGAATTAATCGAACTGTTAACATTAGAACTACTAGATTTTTGAAACTGATTAGTTCCAAAAGCAAAAAGTTACTTCTTCTGTTTTTTTCTTTTTTATTAAAATTTTATAACTTGATCGAGGGAGTTTTTCATGTCGAACGAGAACGCTATTTTGTGTAAATATGATTTTGATTTTGAGAAATGGCACGAAAATAAAAATGTCGTTGGCGGTTCCGGTTATTAATGAATTCTTTTTCTGGTAGATTGACATTTGCTATAGATGAGGAAGGATGGGAGTTTCCAGTTGTGGGCGTATCACCTGAAAGCACGAGCACATACATACATTATAACGTAGGACAATTTCGGCTGTACGTAAGTGTATACGTAAGTGTACGTGTTCGCGCGGGGAACATCCAATGTGCGGACCGGTGGATACTGTATCGATCAAATGTTACCTGCCGGTGTGTCGCAGATATATACGTATATATCCGCGGGGATGGTACATGATTCGCATAGCTATGTATTTCGGTAAGGTACGAGGCTGGCACGTACGAGAAAATACCTTCTCGCGATGAGGCGAGACGGAAATTATTGCATGACGAGGGCAGGGAGTGGAAGTAAGATGGGGATGTCGCGTCAAGGGAGACCGCGAAATTCTGTAATTACACCTAACGAAATTTGTTCATCATCTACGAGAAATATCTACGGATCCAGGAGATAAAACTTCTTCATACTTATCTCATCTGAGAAAATATAATACGTCCGAATGAAAGATTTATGTTGTGCGCGACTCGATGTACGTTTTTATACGTGCTTTATCGATATATGCTTTTTTTCGCATACGTTGCTGCCAAAATGTAGTGAGCTGGAAGTATGGAATTATAAGCGTATCAAGTGACAGAATCGTCATCTTTCACGAATTCCTTTACGAATCGCAGAGATAGAGTAAAACGATCGTGTAAAACGTACTGTCATACGTTAAAAAAATAACCGTTGAGTTTCAATCTTGCTTCACTCCCCTCAACTAATAAATTTCATTTCGGTTAAATTTACGAGTCGATGCGAGATGTTACGTTGCTGAAAATAAATAAGAGAGAAGAAAATTATATCGACGCCAATTACTCGTGCGCAATTAAATTGCAAGAGTGAAACGTTTGCACGGAGATATTGATATTTTGATATTTTTGATCACATGAATAACTTAGATGACAAAGTGCGACATAAAAATGATAAAATTTCATCGAGATTTCTTTACATCTGCCATCATAAATAAAGTGTACAAACATCGGAATATTAAACGATTCTGATAATCATAACGCCATCGAAGTCATAATCAATGAAAGAATGATATGATGGTTCGTTCGCTTTCTTTTCATTTATTTTACCCTGATCATTTAGTCTTCCGCGGAAAGGAAAGTGCAGTCTGTGCTTAAAGGCTGTCGTATGATCTCAATTTAAATGCCTCTAATTGTTGTGTGATATTTTGTATATGAAATCGATTGATTGGTTCCCTTAGAACTCGCTCGAAAGATAAGCGAGTCATAAAAGAAAATATGTAATTCTGCGAATTCCTAATTCTTCAAGTTAGATATTCCCTGACGAAAAATCTAGTTTATACGCCTGCTAATTTATCTCAATTATAGAATTTTATATTTTTCACGAGAATATGAAATAGACGGGAGTTTATCTTGATCTAAAGGAATGAGCCTCTCTTTTTTTTAAAGATTTTGTCTGTTTCAATTTTTATAAAGATGGATTGAGAGTGATAAATATCAAACCTCAAATTCGTTTACGAAAATACGAAAAATAAATGTGAGTTCGCAAAATATATTTTTATCAATTCCACATATCTTCTCAGATAGAATCATCATTTTAGAATTAATAGTTACTCCGGCTCAAAATCTTTCGGCTAAACATCTTTGTACGGCGAGTAGCTTGAATGGAAACGTAGAGTTACATTAATAATGACACTCTGAATGTTCGTAGTAAAAAGATTCAATTTGAAGGGGAGACGAGATTCGACTAGAGTGTCTGAACTTAATCTGCATGACGATGGCACTACGCGCATCGCGATGCAGCCTCTTTTAAGAACTTCCCAAAAAAGCACGCGCGTGTCCGTGCTCTCTCCATCTTTCGCTTCCCCTTATTTTTTTCCTCTCCTCTCAAATATTTGTTCGCTTATGTAACATTGACTGTACTCTAAAATTCTGTTTAACATACGTACTACGATAATTACAGTATTGTTACTTGGCTTGGCGACTATGCCAACGCGCATATCCTCTTATTTCCACGGCGATGTACACAATAGGTGAAAAAAGTCTTTAGAGGAAAATAGGTTCTTTAGTAAATTGACAAGTAGATAGATTTGTGTTCGTGTAGATTTATGTTCGTGTATGTGTGTAGAATTGTGTGTGTGTGTGTGTGTGTGTGTGTGTGTGTGTGTGTGTGTGTGTGTAGTAGTAGTGTGTGTGTAGT